GGTGCGCCCGTGAGTACGTGTATGTGAGTGTGTGAGCGCGCGCGAGCACTAGGCGAGGGGGGGGGGTGCTGTCGCGGAAAGCGGGAACACATTATGCAAATGTTGGAGGAATTTCTCAAAAAGCGATTTAGCAAAGACACAGGCGAATCAAGAGGAGGCGAGGCGGGCATTGTCCGTCTGAATAGGCGCTGATAGCGCCGATGCGCCGCGTGTCGGGCGGACGCAACGCTGAGGATCCCGGCGCGGGGCCGATCTCGGGCGCGCCGAGGGGCTGGAGGGTGCCGCTTCCTCCGCTTGGACTCCTCTGTTTCCTCTTTTTGGTCCCGTATCGGCACCCCACCCCCCATATCGCCCCCGTTTTGCTCCGGGTTTCCCTCCTGGTGGCCCTCGAAAGGCTCCGGAATCCGCGTCAATATCGCCGCGTCGATTTCGCCGCGCGTGCCGGGCTTGTGGGCTGAGGCTCCCGGCGCGGCGCTTTTTATTTCCCTCAAACACTCCCCCCCCCGCCATCTCCTTTTTCTTTTCTTTCTTTCTCTCTTTTCTCCTTTTTGCATTTTGTGTAGCGAGGAGGAGAAGGGAGCGAGGAAGGGGGGTGGGTGGAGGGAGAAAAAATTCGATTTTTAATTACTACCATTAAAAAATCAAATTTGCAATTCTTTGGGCGGCCTGATGGATCTCACTGATTGACAGTTGGAATTGACACTCTGGCTACCTCTTATCTTGGGCATTCACGACAATTTCTAATTGCAGGTAGTTTGTGTGTGTGCGCGTGTTTTTTTTCCCCCCTCAGAGGCTTGGATTGCAAGGGAACTAAGCGATTACTTCAAGAGCCACGGGTTAAGTGCAGGGAGAGGGGGAGAGAGAGGGAAAAAATCCAATCCAAATTCAAATTGCTTCATTAGAGAGACACCGCTTTTGTGGGGAAGGGCTTTAAATGCCCACTACAAAGTTAGGACTCATTGTTCCGCGCCGGTTTATATAACTGGCGCGGGGAGGCGCTGGGCTCAGGCTGCGCGGAGCCAGTTTTGCAGCCGCCGCCGCCTGCGTTCCCTCCCCCCTCCCCCAGGTGATGGCCCAGCCAGGGTCCGGCTGCAAAGCGACCACCCGCTGCCTTGAAGGAACCGCGCCGCCCGCCATGGTGAGTTCGCCTTCGTACGAGGTCCGGCCCTGGGGATCGGGCCCGGCTTTCCGGCCCCGAACCGCTGCCCTTGCGGGGCGACTCGCGGAGGGCGCCGCCCCTCTCTCAGCCTTGGTTTTCCGGCCGAGGATGTGGGTTTTGACCGCTCCCGGCACCCAGGACGCGCGTGTTAAAAGTTGGGGCCGTCCCTTCCGCTTCGATAGTCTGTTTCATTCCTGTCCCCTAGCCCCTGGCGCGGCGTCTCGGGAGGATTTCGTTGTCAGTTGGTGCGCTGGGGCCCCAGATTTGTCTCTGAGGCCGCCACAAAGCTGGGCCCCGGGATCAGCGCTCACCTCAGCGCTCGGCTCTCCCTCTCTCCCCCCGCTGCAGGCTCAGTCGGACGCGGAGGCCCTGGCAGGCGCCCTGGACAAGGACGAGGGTCGGGCCTCCCCCTGTACGCCCAGCACGCCGTCTGTCTGCTCACCGCCCTCTGCTGCCTCCTCCGTGCCGTCCGCCGGCAAGAACATCTGCTCCAGCTGCGGCCTTGAGATTCTGGACCGGTATCTGCTCAAGGTGAGACAGGGGCGGGGTGCTGCGTGTGTGCTGGCGGGATGTGGGCCCTGGGCTGCAGGGAAGCAACGCCGCACCAGGTCCATCCACTGAATTCCGAATCCTGGTTCAGCCTCTGCCTGATTGCGCGGCTTTGCGCAAGCCTTCGCGTCTCTCTGAGCCCCCGGGGTCCCGTCTGGAAAATGGGAAGGGTTTATTTCTACCTCCCTGAGCATCACTGTTACAGAAGAAAAGTGGGGGAGTCACATGCACCGTCAGAGCTCCAGCGTCTCTAACTGCAAATGGAGCCGGGGAGGCTGGGGCCCGGTGTGAAAAGAGGCCCTCACTGAGCCGCCCCCACTCCAACCCTCCCCAGGTCAATAACCTCATCTGGCACGTGCGGTGCCTCGAGTGCTCCGTGTGTCGCACGTCGCTGAGGCAGCAGAACAGCTGCTACATCAAGAACAAGGAAATCTTCTGCAAGATGGACTACTTCAGGTAGGCTGCGGCCGCTGGGCCAGCAGTGTCGCCGCAGGCAGGCCCCCGGCGCGCGCGTGGAGGCCGGCTTTGCGACGCGTGGTGTCTGGCTCCGGACTCCCGCGTCTTGAGTGTACTCCGGGTGCGCCGCAAGGGCCCCGCACGCCGGTTCTCAGCGCCACGAACCAGGAGCTCCAGGCTATGCGCCGGTGTCGGCACGAGCCGGGGCCCGAGATCCGCCTCCGATTCCTGCGGCCCATTCGGTTTCGGTCGCGACTCTGGCTCCGTCTCGGGTTCTGCCTGAGTCTCAGGCTCCAGTTCCGACCTCCAGTGCCTCGGTCGAGCCCTGATGTCCCGGGCTCTGGCCCCAACCCGCTCGGATCCCAGCCGCCAACCATGTGGCTGCATCTCCAGTGCGCTCAGGCTCTGGGTTCAAACCCTGCTTCGACTCCAGCCGTGCCAGCGTCTCTCCGGGGCCGGACCCTGAGCTGAGCTCGACTTAACCCCGGTTCTGACCCCGGTTCCGCTCGGAGTTCGAGGCTGGTCGGGCCCCAAGCACCAGCCTTGCATCGGTCTCAGATCCGATCCCACATCAAGCACCTCGTCCTAAATCCCAACCTCGGTCTCCGGCTGCGCCTCAACTCAGACCCCGGCGTCGCTCTAATGTCATTTCGAGTATGGGGTTCTGTCTGGGTCCCAACTCCATCGTCCTTTCGGACCCGGCTTCAGCCTCTTCCGGGTGTAGGCTCCGACTGCGGGCCGCCGGGATGGGAAGGGAGAGAGTCGGGTGCCGCAGCCAGATCCCTTGCTTAGCAGAATTACCGGGGGCCTTGCTCTCCGCACCTCAGTGCCGCGCGTCCTGGCGGCTGTTGACCGCAGTGGGGCTCCTCCTTCCGCCGCACGGATGTGTCTCCGCCGCTTGCTCTAGCCTAGCTCCTAAACAGTGCGCGCGGCTTTGGCCCGACCGGGTCATGGGGTCGAGGTCACTGTGAGGTCAGGGGCACAGAGGTCGCCTGCCTGATCACCTCGGGAAGCTTGAACCAAGCCTGACGGGGGGACCGCTGGGCCTACGGAGTTGGAAGAGAGTGGAGTGGAATTGGTTTCTGGGAGGGATGCCTATTCCCAAGGGCTGTCTCAGAGGCAGAGAATGCTACTCCCCTATAACCCACTCCCCAACCACAGACATCCTTCCCAACCTTGCCTCTGGAGAGGCCATGGCTTCAGTCTTCTTGGAAAGACCCCACCCCAGAAAGATCCCCCGAGAGTCAAGGAAGGTGGTGGAAGGCAATGCCGCAGCCGCTACCCCTGGCATTGAGTCTTCTGAGACTTGGAAAGAGAGGACCTTGAGTCTGGGGGGAAGTTTTCAGCATTTTGGGCCTGGGTACTGTGGGGAAATCATGGGAAGCATGGTTCAAGAAGTGGGCCCTTCTTTTGTGTATGGGTGTGAAAGGGTGAGCATGGAAGGCAGCTATACCAAGTGGCTTAAGACTCAGTGTGCAAGAGTGTGTGTGCGCCTGTGTTGTTTAGATCTGTGCAGTGGCACTGAGGGAATGCATCACTGAGCAGGGTCAGGGGTGTGTGGACAGTGCGTGTGTCCCTTTATGACAAGCATTTGTCTTTTAGTTCACGTGTGAGAGTGGAGCGTGTCTGTGTGAATGTTGGGACTGTGCGTGTGTGTGTGTGTGTGTGTGTGTGTAAGGAGATCAGGACAAGATTACATCTGGACAGGGATCCGGAGGTGAAAGGGTGAGGATTCTGAAATCCTGTCCTTCCTCACCCTACCCCCTGCTCTTCTGAGGGGGCATTCCCGCTTCAGGC